CCCCAAAACCCCAAAACCCCAAAACCCCAAAACCCCAAAACCCCAAAACCCCTTGAAGGACGCTAAAAATGGAAATTTGGGTTAAAAATTAAGATTTTATTAATTTATTCTAATAAAGGAATCATATTAAAGATGTTCTATAGATTGGTTTCTAGAAGAATCTCTTCCACACATCATGTTGGAAAAAGATTCTTTACCACTAGTCAAACAGCACAGGCAGCTGTCCCAGCTGACACTATGAGAGACAATTCGGAGATTGCAGAAGATCAGAGATACTTCGAGGTCAATGACAAGACAGGAATCATAGTCACTTTGAAAGATGAGAAAGGCGTCTTGAACAAAGCCTTGGGAGTCTTTGACAAATATGGTGTTTGTCTATCGCATATCGAGTCTAAACCATCCAAGTTCTACAAGAAAAGCAAGGCTTATGACTTTTATCTGGACTTTGAAGGATCCTTTGATGATGAACCTGTGAGAAATTTAATTAGTGATCTTTCGAAGATGTCCAAGCACTTAACTATTTGTGGCACCCCTGAAGTTCCATGGTTCCCTACCAACTTCTATGATCTGGACAAGATTGGAAAGGAAACTCTTAGTGAAGGAGACGGTATCCAGGAAGCCGACCATCCAGGATTCAGAGACGAGGAGTATAAGAAGAGGAGAAACTTTATCACAGAGCTAGCACTCAAGTACCAAATGTACGACAAGGAAGTCCCAAGAGTAGAATATACTGATACTGAGGTGGGAGTTTGGCAGCATTGCTACCCAAAGCTTAAGAAGCATTACGTAGGAAGAGCCGTAAAAGAGTTCAACGAAAGTCTTGCTCAAATGGAAAAATATTGTGGATTCGCTGAAGACAATATTCCACAGCTAGAAGATATTTCACAGTATCTGATTAGCAAAACAGGCTGGAGAATCAGACCTGTCGGAGGACTCTTAAGCCAGAGAGAGTTCTTAAATGGGCTGGCATTTAAAGTGTTCCACTCGACTCAATATATCAGACATCATTCGGCTCCGGAGTATACACCAGAGCCTGATATTATTCACGAGCTGATGGGGCATGCACCAATGTTTGCTAATAAGCACTACGCCGATCTTTCTCAAATGATCGGACTTGCATCTCTAGGATGTCCAGATCATTATCTTCCAAGACTAGGAACTTTATATTGGTTCACTATCGAATTTGGTCTCTGTATGGAGGAAGGCGAGAGAAAAGCATACGGAGCAGGTATCCTCTCTAGCTTTGGTGAGCTCGATTGGTGATTTTCACAAGAAGAAAAGGCCCCTAAATTCTTCCCGCTCGACTGCGAAGAAATTGCTGAGAACCATGGAGACTTCCCAATTAGTTCAGTCCAACCCTACTACTTTGTCTCAGAATCATGGGAAGATGCAAGAAAGAAGATTAGAGATTATTGCGATGCAATCCCAAGACCATTTAATGTCTTCTACAATGAAAAGACCCAGAATATCGAAGTGGATAGAAAAATCAAAGGAGTTTACAAAACCTGTAAAGACAATGAGCTGTTGTTTTAAATAATTTAGAGCAACAAATTATTTTGATGAATTTCAGCACTAAAACTAATAATTGGGGTTTTGGGGTTTTGGGGTTTTGGGGTTTTGGGG